CCATAACTTCTTGTGAGTGAATATTTTGAACTTGGGAGATGAAGATGGATTGTAGGTAATTGCATCCTATTCAAAATGAGCTTTGGATGGGTCATTTCTCATAAAGTATGAGAAAGTTATGTTTGGTCAAAGTTGTGTTGACTTTTCCTGCAAAACCCTAATTTAGCAACTTTTGATTCTTGATGAATTATGAGAAATCCTTGATGAATCGTGATCAACCCTTTATCAAATGATGAAATATAATTCAAAATGAGGATGTTGACCAAAAAAACTTGAATTTTGACTGTATGTAGGCCACAATTGACTTTTGCCCTAGCACAGTCGATTTTCGGGCCTTTGAGCAATTGACTGAGCAAATTTTCTCCGTAGGGCTTGAAACTTGACATGGATGATTTTGAGAACATATTAGGACATTGGTGAGAATTTGGGATCCCTTGGACTCAAGTATCTTAATGAACATGAAACCCTAATTTTAGGTAGACTGCCTTAGGAGAGAGCTTGTCTGGTCAACCCTTGGATTTCCTTGAGCATCTTAAGGATCTTTCTTGAAATGTTTTGAGAAATATGGGAGGGAAAATTTTGGGGTACAACATATTGCTTTAAAAAAATTTCATTGTTTGTTTATCTTTAAGGTTTGCTTGGGTTTAAATTCTCGCAAAGATCCTACACCGGGATCTAGGGATGCCTTAGGTAAGTAGCAATAGATCATTGAAATTGTACGGTGTAGACCGATATAGTTGAAGTGATGGATACGTTAGTGTGACACTTTGGTTTATAATGATGTTCCTTGAGTCAATCAAGGATAACATTGGGCTTCTGCGTGGTGTCATAAGCACTAATTGAATTTTAGAGCCTTAATTGACCCATCTTGGCCATTAGAAGATAATGAGATAGCCGACTTTGGTGCAATCTAGAGTTGGTTGATACTCGACGCTACACTCATTGAGATTCGACTCTCGGGATGTTTTGGTGGCAAACCAGTTACTGTACTAAAATAAAACCTTCGAGAAAGAATCATGATATGAGATCCCAAGAACCCGGTTACTATTTTAGGACAAGTTGAGCCAACTTAACTTCAAATAGAGAAGGGTACTTAACTACGAACCACATGCAAGCCTTTAAACCTAAGGCTCTTGCATGATTTGTTTGTGTTTTCTACTTGCTTAAACATTACATCACAACATCATAACATCATGACATGGCATTTTTCACTAACCATTTCAAGGATCTTAGGGACCTTTGATGTAGGTTTATCATGAACCAAACTTCTAGTAAGGGGAAAGAGGATTCTTTTCCTCTTACCAGGTTTCATCAAAGATCAAAGTAAATTCTTTTGAGTCAAATGCTAGGACCCACTTGACATGGTAAGCTCGATTCCTATAGAAGGACGTTCAAAAATGAAGACGCAAAGTTCTTCAGTCAAAGCTGCAGCCAGACTCAATTTCTGACATTTCATTCTTGTTTGTCCTGTGAGATCCTCGAAAACATTGCATAAGAATCCACATACTATACATATCATTACATCACAGGCATTCCCCAAACAGGTTTTCTCATCTTCTTGTTGTTTATTTCAGTAAAAGATGGCTCTCGAACTAACAGTCAAAGATCTTGAAGCCCAAAATGTTTAGTTCCAACAAATGTTCCTCAACTTAGCCAAGGGGCAGGTATTATACCCCAATTTTTTCCCTAAGATCCTTCTACCATCTCATATCAACCCAATCATATTAAGATCACACACTAGGGTTTGGTTCCTCTCCCTATCTTAAGGTTTGCTCATGAGGGATCACCAAGCACTTTGATTTGCATAATATGATCATATATGTCTTGTGTTTATTAACTTATAACTAACAAATATAATGAATATTTTCTCTATAAATGATGTTATTATAGGTGACGGCACAACATATTTCATCAAGTTGATTCATAGGTTCATGAGTTTATTTCCATGCCTTATTCAATAAAGCTTTATTGAAATTTAAGCTTCATCATTAAGTGTTCTTTAAAGTAATTTCATGACAAGGTCTACTATGATTCATCATGCTTAAATTTCCAAAGGAAGTCAAAAGATGCAAGAATTGATTGAAGAAGTTTGACCTAATTGGACAAGTTCTTGATTCCTTGATCACAAGTGCATAACTACCTCAATTCTCAACATTTGGAAGTGGTTATTATTTCTATAGGTTCTTATTATCATCCCCAACAATTTCTTTTCACATAGCAAAAGTATTTGTACAATAAATATTGTCAAAATTGAAAGGGGTTCCCAAGTCACTTTGATGCTTTGGGAGTTAGGGTTTTGGACTTCTAAAGGCTATATATTGTCCATATTTTGAGATTTTTTAGAGATTCCAAAGATATGCTTCTATTTAAGGTTTATAAACAAATAACTTCAAAGGTTTCAAACAAATTTTGTGTTAAAGATCACTAATGATTGAGAAAGATTACAAGTCCTCTTGATAGGCTACCGAGTCCCCTCATGTGACTTCAAATGCTCATAACTTGGTCTATTTTTGTCTTCTTGATCCTATTATTTCTCCGTAACAATATTTGGGATGTCTACTATAACTTTGTTTTTATGAGCAAGACATGAATATGCTTAGAAAGTGTTTGAAAATTATAAAAGATTATAGGTCTTTTGTGATTTTCTCCAATTTTGTTCATCATTTTTCAAAGATCATAACTCTTTCATTTTTTATGATTTTTGAGTGATCTCAATTCCAAACTTCAATTTAATAGGTCAACTTCATGTCATCTTCAAATTACAAAAGCAAATTTTGAGTGGAAGGCCATGTTTGAATGCAAAACATTACAAGACACTTTTGATGCCAAACTTAGAAATTTTTCTAAGTGTAGGAAATCCGTGTGTTTTTGCTGATTTCAAAGGGACACAACTTTTGATCCAAGGAACCAATTGCAACCATTCTTTTCACATTGAAAATATTGATTTAAGATCTCTCTAATTCTTCAAAAACCACATCATATAGTGCCCTACATTGTTGGCACCATGGTTGTAAAGTTAGCTTTCTGAAAATGATTATAATTTCAAAGTTAAAATTAGTTTGGATTGGTTTGGCCTGTAAACACAAAGTTTTCATGTGTTTTTGCTTAAAATCATGTTTAGCAACTTTCCAAAAGCAATTAGAACCATGAAACACATGTTTTGGCTGAGTTTTGATGCCAAGCAAGTCACACGTTGCCCATGTATCAGATTCACATGAATTCACTCAATTATTCTCCCATTCGCATGCTTAAGCATTGCCTCATCCTCTCCTATAAATAAGATGCACAATACAAACATTTCCATAAGCTTTTGATATCCAATTGACCCCTGCCAGTATCTCATTTGAACTCTTAAGGCTTGAATTCGTTTTTTCATTTCCACCCTCCAAATCACCAAAAATTCTTTTCAGTGAGCTTCATTGGACTTCCCTGAAGCTAACCATACTCCTACCTTCAAGAATCATGACCTGAATCAAGCTCCCCATAAATCCAGTTTCAGAGCTTCCTCCTTGAGTTCGAACAGGTAGGTTTCTCCACCAATTCGCCTCAACTTTGTTGCTAGAACGTAGTTCTTGGTTCCCTGATGCTTGTGGTAACCTTTGTTTCCAAATGTAATTGAGTTTGATATGTATGTTTTCAAATCCCTTCTAAAAAAAATTCCTCTTCTTTTTTCCAAATCTATTACACTGTGGCAAATATAAATTTGGCGCGAGGGTACCATTGGAATCGTCTTGAAGAGATGAAGTGAATGGTACCGGTCTCGAGCTCCAATTTTTACATTTCATGAACCTGTAAATCGTGTGGCTGGAGGTTGAAGATGACCTACGTGTCTGTGTTGCGACTGGTTTTTCATCACAGTCTCCACTATCCGTTTTTATCCTAGGGAAGGGAATCTAACAGAAAACCCTAATTCGCAGACAAAGATTCTAGGTTTCAGACTTTATTAGACGAAAGGAAGGTGTTAGGCACCTTTCATCTACCTTGTTCACAAGGATATTAGGTTTTAGGTTTAAGTTTGTTTTTTTATAGGAGAACTCGCTACGATTTTTGATCGTATGCCTACGTATCCTCTTATGAGGAATCAGAGTCCCAATTTGTAGTTTGTATGGTGCTGGTGTTTTTTTATAGGGTTGCATAGAATTGTTTACAAATTATCCTTGAACTTTGCTGGGTTTTAAGTTGATAGATTGTAGACGCAGTTCACAGTTAATTTGAAAATAATTCTCCTTAATCCTTTTTCGAAAATAATCTTGAGTTTTGATTATGTTAGTAGAAAAAATAGTGTGTAATTGGTTAGTTGTTTTGGTATTTGATATTATTAAGACGTGGGGAGGGGAGTCTGATATAGTCTCCTCACCACGTGGTCAGATATTGACTTCGTGCTGCTCGTTATGAAGGATACGAAGGAAGTCTGATATAGTCTTCCTCACCACGTGGCCAAATATTGGCCACGTGTCACTCATTGGTGAATTTTAGGGAGTTGCGTGGATTTCAATTGTTTGTAGAATATTGATGTGATTAAAATATTTAAAAGAATTAGAATTCTATTAAAAAATTATTTTTTTGATAGATAACTATTAAAAAAATAAGTTAAGTATTTTAAATAAAAAATATTATTTATGCAAATTTTATATTTAATGCAAATGTTCCAAAATGTGATATTTAAATAACACATTAAAAGAAATTAAATATTAAACAAATAACTTTAATTAAATTTAAAAAAAAATAGTTAGTTTCAGGAGGGGTGCGAAATTGAAATATGGAGGTGCATGGAAGAGATAAAGGATTGTAAAAGTCCAGGCCTAAGCCCATTTCCTAAAACCCTGAAATGAATAAAAATATGCCCAATAAATAAAAAACAAGAGGATCACTTACAATATGGGGCAGTGCCTCTTCAATCATGATTATTAACTTTTAATTCTTCCCCGTTTGTCCAGTATATAATTAACAAGTGGCAGTTTAATTGTTAAAAAAGAAAAAAAACAAACAACACAATTTATTTATAAGATCAGAAACATAATACATAAAAAAACCAAGGCTCTCTCTAAAACCTCCTTCTCTATCTCTTGTATCAAGCAGAAATAGTAAACAGTAAAAAGAAAATCCCAATAATGGCATTGATGGATCGACGGACTTGCAAACAGAAAGGGATGGATGTAAAGTGCGTCAGGACTGAATCGCGGTTTGGTGGTTTCGATCTGGAGAGTCGTCGAAAGAGCAGAGGTTACGCGTGGATTTGAACAACAGTAGAGGTGGGTGTTGCAACGATTTTCCGCGGGTGATAAGCGGTAATTTAGTGGGTTGTGGTCTGGATCTTGCAAGCATGACGGTTGCCCTTTTATTCTTTTTATGCCGACTGCAGGGTATATGGACGAAAGAAGGTTGCCGGTGGTGGCTGTGGCAGCTAGGGTTCCAGATATTGGAACCTCAGTAGCCCTTATTGGTACGATTATCGTTCTTCTTCTTCTCATTTTCTGTCCCGAAGAATCTCTTTTTGTATCTCTTTTACCGCATTTGCAAAAAAAACATTTATGTCCATTAATTCTTTTATTACAACAAACAATCTTAGATCGAACTGGGCCTAACTAGCCTTTTGTAGTTTGATCCAATAACATCTTTTCTCAAAAACAAAAACTCTTATAACTTAAGTCTAATAAACCAGTTTAAGAACTTTTCCTTAAATAATTAAAAGAGTTTTCAGAATAAAACAGAACCGTTAAAAGGGTTGGTTAGAATATCTTAACAGGCCTCTAAGTTTATAAGCAAACCCCCTTCTAAAAGTGAAAATGGACTAGCGTGAATTTTAATGGGCTTCTAGTTTGTAATCTCACCTTTTCTTTTTATTAATGACAGCAATTCTTAAATGGCTTTGTAATAAATATTTTTTTTAATAAATTTATAACATTATTTAATTTACCTAAATGAAATAAATCCTTTTTTTAGGCTGTAAAGAACACTTTAGAAAAATGATAATAACAGAAAATGTTTTATATCAATTTTCTAAATTAAATCAGCAACAAAAATGACCACTGGACCGATTTAAAAAAAAATTTCAATGGGCCTGCAATATGTATCTCTTTTTTACTAACGATAAAAAATGGGCTAAGTTATTTAATTTTTAATTAATAGCAACTTAAATTTAAGTCGCTTTAATAATTTTTATTTTCAAACTGCATGGGCCATTGGCCAACATGCCTCACGAACGGATTTACGAATACATGGGTCCTTCCGATTTAGAAAGCCCCCCATTTTCCTGAATATAATTATACTCTTCTCGTTGATTTGAAAGTGGGCCAACAGATATTGTTGTACCATCTTTAATTAGATATTTCTTCTATCTCGAAAAAATAAAATCGAGGTAGGACAAATTTGGAGTACGATAGTTTGTCTTCAAACCAATGATGAGTTGCCACACATTTTTTCAAATCTGTTTAAATAATGGATCATGTGTGTTATTCCCCGAAGACCATGATATGCACAACGTGTCTGATCTATTGGATTAGCTTACTAACGTATTTTGACTCTCATCCAATGGACCATATTTTTCTGACTTTATTTTTATTTCTGATTTTTAAATTTAATTGTTTTAAACTTCAAAAAATCATAGAAAATTCATTTCTGACTCAAAAATTAAGAAAAGATTTACAATAATATTTCTAAATATTCTCTTTCTAATTTTTACTTTTTCATGATTTTATTTTGGGATTTGATATTTTTTATGATTTTTTTATTTTTGTTTTGACTTATTTTTAATTGTTTAAAAATACTTTTTGGTATTTTTAAATTCTGGAAAAATTTAACAAGATCATTTTCTTTATTTCTAACATTCTAGAATTTTTTCTAGAATTTTATTTTGATTTTTTACTATTTTTAATCATTTTTCACTTACTTGAGTGATTTTAAATAATCTAAAAATACTTTTGTGTTTTAAAAAATTACTAAATTTTTTGTAAAAATTCTTAAGATCATTTCTGACTTGTGTATGTTTTTTTTTTTAATTTTTATTTGATACTTTGAATATAGTTTGTTATTTTTCCGTTTATTTTCACTTAAAAAACAATTTAAAAATCATTTTCTTTTTTTATTTTTCTTATTAAATGCAGTTTTATTTTTGAATATATTATGGCTGAGCTTGAACTATGTGACCTTTAATCATAAGCTTCCTTAACATCATTGGATCTTGGGTGTGAGTTTAACTCCACATAAATGGATGAATGATTTTAATGATAGTTTTATTAAAATATTTGGTTAAAATATTTACCGTCCCTCCTCATCTTATCCCTTTCTTACTTGTGTTACATGTTGTTAGAGGATGATCTACATATCATTTTTCCAAACATATGGTACATAGATTGCTATTGACCGACCTCAAAATAAGTGTGACTTCTATATAAGTTCATTTACGATTGCTTAACATAGTTCTAAATTTCGTCCTCATTCGAGAAATGATCATTTGTGGCCCAAACTTAAGTTTGCAAGCCCAATTATGTTAATTTGAACACTTTGATCCAATAACCATCAAGTTCATTGTTATAAGGCCTTGGTCTTATCAATCCTCTAATGAACCATCATAAATTTTGGTCTAAGTGAATCATTCAAACATCGTTGATCATTTGTTGTTGCCTCGAGAACTTGAATTGAATGGTATACTTGACAAAAGCAAATGAAACTTGTGGCTGAGAAGCTTTGATTTCATCAATCTTCTAATGAGTTTTCAAATTAATGTTTTAAGATGGTCATTCAACTAACCTCTAATTCCTAACTCATTAACAATTGACTTTTATTATGTATTTTTACTTTATTCCCTTTATCTTATGCCTTTATTTTTTATGCACCATTTAATTTAGCATTTACGTTTCATGTTATTTTCATCTTTGCTCACTTGAGAATTTATCTTTATGTCTTTTTAGTATTGCCCACTCGAGCCTTTAATTTTCTTTTTGAAGATACTTAATAACAAACTTGAACACTAAAAACTTTAAGGTTACTTGGAAAATTTGGTTACTATCCTTTGCATAATGGAGTTATGGACCTCTTGGACTTAAGATTAGAAGCCTTGACTACCCTTGGGACCTTGTGACTCTGTTACTATTTTTTCTGGAGCTATTTAGGTTTACCCCAAGACATTGGGTTGATTTTCTTTGTGTGCAGGTTATTCTGATTATATGATTTGCCTGTGATTGGGAATTCCTCGATATACAGCTGTTACTATGCCCAATTTTTGTGAAGACTTAATGCATCTGAAGCTTGGTATTCTTAAGAGATTTAGTATCCTTTCTTGCTTAGTTTCAATCCAGGGGATGGGAATTCTACATTGACTCTTTGTGTAAAATGTTGGCTTCTCGTTGGCTAGACGGTTCTTTTCCATAAATTTCACCTTAGCTTTAGTATAGTCCATTCATCTCCTCTTATCTTCTTTAATTTCAAAAATCTTCTCCATCCTTTCCAAAACTCTTCTGGATTTCTAACTTGAATCCCGTTCACAATAAACTTGGACTTAGGTCCATGCATTTTCAAAAACATTTTCTTAATCAAACTTTAACCAACTTAATCATACTTTGACATTTATGTGAGAATACTAAAAGTCAATCAATCTCATTCAAACCATTTTTTCCACTTTGGCTTTTTACTTAAACTTTTCTTAAAAGGTTAGACTCTAGTCAATCTTTGTAGTGATGCGAGCCACTATACTTCTACGATATATATTGAAGTGAGATATTTTCCACTTGGGTGTTGAGTGGGGCTTTGTTCATTTTAAAATCCAAGTTGTATCCTCCATTTTGAGATGATGCAAATTCTCCTTTCTCATAATTGTGGGTAGTAAGTATGTTCTTCCACTCGGATATGAAGATGATGTCTCGTCCCTTAAAATTAACCAATATATTTTTGTTTTAAATTTTTAAAGATGAACTACGAGTACCCTGATCCCCTATTGCACAGAAGGTGGTACGTAGGCACTAAAGATTCGCAACTGCGGCGGGTGCATGAATTGTAAAAAAATACTTCTCTTTGCATCTCCACCATCTATTTTGTATACAACGTTTATAGCCAAAAATACACAAATTTCCAAAGAGGTTCCTGCAGAGTAGATGTTTAGGGTGTTAATACATTCCCTTTGCATAACCAACCCCCGTACCTAGATTCTCTCCCCCCTCTTTTTTTTTTGTTATTCGCTCTTTTTCTATTCCTCTGGAAACAATAAAGTGCGGTGGTGATTTTTATTTGATCTGTGTGAGTTAAGTCAGTCCAATAGCTTAGTCTCAACATTTCTACCACTAAAGAAAAATGGTGACTTCACTGGGGAAAGATCGACCAAATGTTGGTCCATCTCTAAGTGGGTTGAGCCTATCTTTGATTATTTGTGTATGTGCTATTATTTGTTGTATATTATATGTTGTATTATGTTTGTTTGTATTTTCCTGGTTTTCAGGGTGCTTGGTATTTTCTCATAAGTCCTCTGCCCGGACTTGGGCGAACTCAGTGGAGGCCCCTTTGACTTCTAAGACTGAGGACCATAGAACCCTTAACCCATCTTGGCCTTTTAAGTGTAGTGCGGAAATTATGATGGAGTAATCCGGAAATGGTTGTCACACGATACTACACTCAGACGAGTATTTCCTAAGAATATTACTAATTACCGAGTCAATCAGGACGTTGGTAATATCCGAAGGAAGGACGCAGAATCTAAGAACCTCTTATAAACTTGTTCGGTAGGTGATAAACTATTAGTCCTTACCTTGTGGGTATTACCTTTGACCTCATGCTCGTGACGTCGAACTTATGAACCCCATGTTTGTGATATTGTGTGTGATTGTTGCATCATGCATTCATGCACCCATGAGCATCCTTTTGAACATTTGTTTCAAGGGACTTAAAGTTGAATTTTTGCAAATATCTCAAGTACTTTTTGATCATGGATTCTGGAAAAAGAAAAACCCGGAAGTAAAATTTCAAGGATCCTAAGATAGATTAATTGATGAGTCTGATTCCCGAGATCGAGAGTTCTACAGATTTTTGGAAGTATGGATCCATCATGTCTCTTATGAAGCTCAGGATGAAGGAGGGTATTCTTTCTACTTTGGTCCAATTCTATGATCTATTGTATCGGTGTTTTACTTTCCCTGATTATCAGGTGATGCCTACATTGGAGGAGTATTCTTACCTACTGGGTTTACCTGTTACGGATCGTGTTCCTTTCACTGGTTTAGAGGGAGAGCCCAAGTCTCATGAGATTTCTGCCATGATTCATTTGGAGAAGTCTGAGATTGAGGCTAACATGACTACCAAAGGAGGAATCAGAGGCTTACCCGCTCAGTTTTTATTACTGAAATCTCTCTACTTTGCTAGGATGAAGAGTATAGTTGCTTTTGAGGCTATCTTTGCTTTGCTTGCCTATGGGTTGTTCTTATTTCCTAACGTCGACAAATTTGTGGATGTCAACTCCATCAAGGTCTTTTTGATTTGGAATCCA